AAGATATTTAGAGATATTTAGATATATTTAGATATTTATTTACCAGCAGTATACATACAATGATTTCTTTTTAGAGAGGTAAAGATGATTGTTGTCACACATACAGAGAAATGCAAACCTACATATTAACATATACATATATGTAGGTTAATAAATACTTTATAAAGTTTGGAGAAAACATGCAGCAAACTAATAACATTGGTTATTATTGAGGAATGGGATTATGAGGAAAACTTCACTTTCTAAGTTAACATTTTTGTCATGTTTGAAAGGATTTTAAAATAAGATGAATATATTACCTTTGAGAACGAAAAACACAATGAGAATATTTATTTTAATGCCAAAATAAAAAAGGGACAAAGATTAGAATGGAAAGTGGCTGAACACATGGTATCATCCCCAATATGGAAGAAACCAAAGTTACCTATGACAGCCTTCAGGTTGTGCACGTAAATGACTGCATTGTTGGAGCCAGAGGCCATCAGATAACTCAGCTCTGGCTGGCTGCCATGCTCATGATGCCAGCTAATGGTATTCACAAGCTTGTGATGCTGCAGGATGGTGCACATCAGTTTCAAGTTGGGTACTTGAAATATTTCTATTGATCTGGAATAAGAAACACACCAAAACAAGATGGATGGATGAATGGTCAAATTACAGTCTAAGGCAAACAGACATCTTCCTCATTCCATTAGTCAAGGAAAGATGAGATGAAATAGGATAACTCTTTCTTTCACTGCAAAAGTCATTCTCTCATAAAGAACCAGGCACAATAAATTATCCTCTCAACAAGTATATTTAGCTTTTTAAAAATTCTAACAGTCCCTGAAAAGTTGTGTTTATCAGGCATTCATAACAAATGGTGATAGGGAGAAACTGAAAAAATTAATAAACCAGTGGCTGAATTAGGACTATGTTACTATGATCAATGTTGGATAGGACATAGTGAGACCTAAAGAACATTTCTGCCTAGGCTTACTTTAAAAAAACAAAGTGAGATTTAGGCAGTTCAATACAGGAGATGAGCACTTTGTGACACATAAAACAGCCAAAATACAGAGTAGCCAAATACTCTCTTTGGCCTGAAAATATCCAAATAATTCCATAGTTCTCAAAGACAAGAGAGAGCTAGATCAGTCAATGATATCAAGGATAAATCAGAATACCAAATACAACGGGGGTTCCCTAACTAATATTACAGATGGCATTAGCTAGCCAGCTTGTGATCAAATATATGTGCAACTCCAGATTTTTTTTAAAGAAACAAATACATACCCATCTTCATTGCCAAGAGCCATGACTTTGCCATCTGCTTTCCAGCTGATCTCTGTGTGTACAGGCATTTTGTACTAAAAAGCAAAACAAACCAGTCTTGACTATAAACAGTGTTCTCTCTACATATCATACAAATCAATGATGACAGCATAAGAAAAAAAATCCCTAGAGTTAAAAAATGTGCCAATTATACAACAGCCATTCTTGTAAATAATCTACATAATTAGTCAAAGAATTACTAAGAACAA